CTTTTAAAATATTTTCAATTTTTATAATATTTTAGAATATTTTTTTAATAATATTTATTTTTTTAAAATAAATTTAATTATACCGATGCTAAATCGATGCAATAGTGATGCTAATTAGCGTCGAATTAGCGTCGACTTACGATTCTTTCCGCTGCTAATTCGACGCTAATTTAGCGTCGAATTAGCGGCGAAACGTTGCATCAGAACTATGTCGATGCTAATTTGACGCTAACGTAGCGTCGAATTAGCGTCGAATCTTTGCATCGGATGCTAATTTAGCATCGAATTAGCGTCGAAATTCAGTACGACGCAAAATTAGCGTCGAAAAAGATTTTGCGTCGACGATTTAGCGTCGAAATGTTATTCGCTGCTAATTTGATGCTAAAAACCTTTAGCGTCGAATGTTGCCGACGCTAAAATCGTGTTTTTTTGTAGTGTACTTGGTTGGTTTTTTTTTTTTTTTTAAAAGACTAAAACCACAAACAACTATATTGCTTAACGAACCTAAAGGAAGACATATATGTTGGATTGATGTCGTTCATCTTTTACAATTACCAATTTTTTTGACATATAGTTTCCAATTTAAAAAACATTAGAATGATATTTTGTTAGACAAAATCATGCTGCTATATATATAATCGAACATTGCTATTCAGCGTTATTCTTTATTATAAGTCAATTTAAAATCTAAATTGAAACATGCATGTTGGAAAACAAAATGCATATTATGACGACTCAAAATATACTAAAAACAAAAAGATTGGGACTGTTTAAAACTTTGTAGATCCGTTGTATTGTATATGTCGCTCTTCGGATTTAGCACATATTATTGATTGTTTGTGGTCTTTCGATTGATTTGTAATTGATATTTTTCTTTTCTATTATAAGGTTAGTTTTTGGAAAATTTTTGTGTTATGCCCGGATTATCCCCTGGTTTAAAACAAAAAAAAAAACCTTTTGTGTTATGCCAGTTTTGGTGTATATGTTGGCTGTGTTTTTCAAAAAAAATTCAATAAAAGTTCTATATGTCAAAAAGAAAAACAATTGGAACCCTTTTGCACATTCAACAAATCTTCTAATTAAGATGCAACATGTGTTTGATAGAGAGTAGTTGAACGTCTAGAGACAAAGAAGGAGATATGAGGATCATCCATGCAAAAGCAAAAGTAAAAGTATTTACTTTGCATTTGCATTGCTTGGAAAGTGATTGCGCACATGATGGCCGAAAAAAGATTCAAAGTTATACGCGGTTTTGCTTTCATATTTGATATTTTTCTTGAAAATTTGGAAAACTAGATCACATTGAAATTGATTGTCGCAATACATTTTTTTACTTTTTACCATTTTTTTTCTATACTATCTTTAACCAAAATTATATAATTTGAAATAAATGGTTTTTAAATTTTTTTAAAAATCATATAATTACAAAAACGTAAAAACAGTCATTTCTATATATTAAAATATTTTTTAAGTTCACAAAAAGCTGATTTTTTTCTCCTATGCTTTCCAGAATGTACATTCTATAGGTACTTGCTTCTATGAACATGTAGATTATTAGTTCTGTCTATTTCATTTGTATCTACCAAGTGTAGAATTATTTTTTTACTAAATGCTTTGTCTTCTTTATTTTCGTAGAATGTTGCTTCCACCGTTTGCACTAAACACTACCTAATCCAGAATACACATTCTACCACATTATTCATCATATACCATATCCAGAATATAAATTCTACTAATTTAAACCGAAACTAGAATGTGTTTTCTACTAAGTTAGTTTTAAAATTTTTTAAGAGGGTTTATTGGGAGTAGAATTTAGAGTTTGTTAATTTGAAAATTTTAGAGATTTGTTAAATTTGTAGGGAGATTTGTTAAGTTTGGAAAGATTTTTGTGTATATCATAAATCTATCAAAGAATTGTATTGTAAGAATTTTGAGAATCTCATGTATATAGTTAAGATTGTGAAAGTTGTGTTTACTAAGTTAAATTTTTAAAATTCCTACTCCCAATAACATTGGATTGTGCTAGAATTACAAAATCATTAAAAACCAAACTTTTTCATTAACAATGGATCTCATGAAGATTGTAAGATTTTATATACCAATAACAATAGATTTTATTAAGATTGTTAGAATTTATAAACCAATATCAATGAATTTCATTTAGATTGTTAAAATTTATAAACCAATAACAATGGAATCTAAGAATTCTATGAATCATTAAGAATTCTACTCCCAATAACACCCCCTAAAGCTAGGTAGTTTTAAAATTCTTTTAATCTAGGAACAAGTGAATATTCTATTTTCTTTAAATGAATTTTTTAAGAATGTTTATTCTATTTTCCAAAATGATTTTTTTGAAAATATTTTCATTCTATTTACCTAAAATACAGTATTTTTTTTTAAAAGATATTTCCATTCTATATTCTGAAAATGATTTTTTGAATATATTTTCATATTAAAACTTCATTTATAATATGATACATATTTATAAACTATGCTTCATTTAGTTTATAATATTTTGTTCATAATATGTTTAAACAAAATTTGAACGAAATTTTTATTCTATTTTCTTCATTTATTCGAATCTTTTTCTTTTGGGTTAATATATTCCATATCTATTTTCCATAAAATTTGTTTATAACATAAATCTATTATTAATTAGACAATATCTCACACTCCCTCCGTTTCTTATTATAGGATGTTTTGGAAGTTTTTTTTGTTTCACATTATAAGATGTTCTCATATTTCTAGGTATTTTTGAACTTTATTGATAATTATGTGACCAATAATCTTTTGTATTTTTTTATAATTGGCTGAATTGTTTTAATTAATATATTAAATTTTACTTTTTGATAGAAAAAGTTATGTTTTAATGTTTGTGTTTCTAAGCACAACAGCATATAATAAGAAATGAAGGGAGTATAATATTGGGATATACTATTTTAAATTTAACATTTCATCCGTTTATATTAGTTGTCATTCTGGGCTTAATTTTTTGTTTCATTTACTTGTTATTCTGCAATTTTAATACATATTTATGACCAGTT